TAACTATGAGGATTGAATTAGAGTTGCAGAGGTTTTCATATTGACACAATTTACGAGACATGTGACTGTCTTGACTTTAGTAACAAGGAAGGGAAGTGCCATTCTGGTGGTAGTGATGATGTCATTAATACATTTCTTTATGTGTCGTTTGTGAGTGAAGGCAAATCCTTGCTGCACAGTACAAATGAATGCGGTTTGTTGTACTTAATGCTTTGCGAACTACAACAGTGTTTCAGAAAAAGACAAAAAAGTAAATAAGCTTGTCATCCCCAATTCAAATTCAAATGTATGTACACACAAAATCATGCGTTTTACACATGTATAACTAATACATCAATGCTTTCACAACCAGTACAAACATGAATTAAAGTTAACCACTTGCACACATAGTTAACTACATATAGACGCATTTGTAAGACATGCGTCAACATTCAGTATATATATATGTGTTCAACTTGTTTTGACTTCTTTGTGTATTTCACTGGGGGCTGTTGGCCAAGTTTTATTCTGCTGAAGTTTTCCTGCCTTTTCTTTTTCTTTCTCTTTTTTGTCTTCAGCCAGGTCAGCTGAGGCAGTACGGAAAAAAAGTTTCTTCAACAATTTGTTTGCAGATGAAATTGATCGGTTACCATTGAAATATACTGTATATATACAAATATATATATATATATATTCTGTACATGTATGTCCTGTGTATATGCATTTCTATAGTTCTGTGACATTTGGAGTAAAGATCGATTAATAATAACATTTACATTCCAATACAATTTACAAACCTTGAGGCAATTTTGTTTTTTTAATTGACTTTCTGTGTGTTTCGCTGCTTTTATTGCCTCTCTCTGTACTGCAGGCTATTGGCAGTTGTCCAGAGCAGTTCACTGTGAAGCTTTTGGCTGCAGTCAGGAGAAAGGTCAACCGAGACAGTGAGGACAGCTGTTTTCTCAAAATCAACATTTATTTTATCTTACTATGATATGGTTTGGTTCCCATGGAAACTGCACTGGAATTTTTTTATTTATTTTTTTTCCAACAGTCGAATCCACTGAATGTGGTGCAGCACATCATGTCTGAGGAGCAGAGATTTTAGAGAACGGCTGTTTGTGTTCACTGCTGTGGGTGTGTTTCTATGGGGGAGAGAAAAAGACAATATACCCAGGCTGAGTCCCAACGTTTTCAAACCTCTGAGTTTGAAGTAGGTCTCTTTAGCAATGAGTTCGCTGACAAAGAGACCCTTTGTGCTGCATGTTCATCCAACCACTAACCCAGGCGTATAATACCATGCCCAGTACACAATTTAATTGGGAATATCCATCACCAACATCTTTTTCTTTGCTCATATCTCTGAACATTCTACCACTACTTTCTACCAACACATAACCTTTCCCCTAAAACCATCCCATCGTCTTAGTTCAGCCTTTTTGACCATACTGACTGAACCTCAACTCACACACTTACCTTAAATGTATTCTAACTTTACACTACCCTACAACCCATTTAAGTCACTTTCAGAAGCAATGGCCAGAAATTCCTCACCTTTCTATTCCTGTGAAGAAATTAATTTCTTAATAGCCTCGAGTTACACGCACACACACACACGCTCACATTCCATCACACATGCTGAGCTTCTTCTACTGTAAGTGGTTACCATAGATACCACATGGTGCGGCTCATGAAGTACAGTGGGTCCATCTCACGTGGGAGCTATCGTGTATTTATAGAAGCACTGTGGTGAGGCCAGGAATGAGTTTAGACAATGCACTTTTTTGGGCAATAACGAGCAATGAAGTGCTGTAACGGGTAAGAGGTGCTGTGAGCCACATACTTGTATGTTGGCAGTGACTTTGAATTGTCATCGTGTGTAGCACTTCAGTGTAATATTAATAAGTTGCATGTTGGAACTGTCCGTGGTGCTGGAAGTAGATTGAGGCATTCAGAATATTCAGATATTGAGCAAAACAGATTTTTCTTTCTTCTTAATCAGTTTTTTCTTTGTCATCCATTTCTGCAGCTTTTTTTTTTTTTTTACTCTTCCTCATGGCATGCCTTTGTGTATGTCAGTCTCTGTCTTTCCACAGAAAAATTAGAATGACTAGCACTGAGCAAACGACTTAACAATCCTCCCCCCTTTCTAGTTCTGCCATCTGAGAGCTCTTCTTCCTTCAAAAGGTCAGCGAGTTTTGGAAAGTTTCTTGTAATAATCTGCTAGCTCTGCACCAAGCCGTGTACCATTGGAAATCAAATACAGAGTACATATCATGACATGTTTAAATGAATCCTATTTTGTTGAATAATGAACTAATTAACAAACTCCTACTGAAGGCTTTTTTTTCCTTCTTCAAAACACGGATTTCGAAGTATGTCCCCTTATCTTCCCAAAGTAATTGCACTTCCTAAACTGACATAATTGAATTGCTACCCACCCTGGCATTTGAGGTGTATTGTTCTCAAGGAATGAGGCATACGTAATTACAATCCATCATAATCACTGCGCCTTCATCTCAATTCAGACTTAAAGTCTAATAATGGTTCAGTGATTATGTTTTGTGGAAATATTGTCTATAAGATATAATGGCCTCCTATTATTTAACATTGTCCTAATGGCACATGCTTTAAAAAGTAATGAGCAATTACAGAGAGGCATGAATTCGGCCAAATGGAATAGAGAATGAGATGTGAGAAGATGTTGGCTATAGCAGGATAATCAATAAGACTGGTGAAAAGATTAACCTGATCCTGACTATTATCTTTCAGTTAGTAGGAGTAATATCTGTTTTATGTAGTGCATTTACACAGCTCAATGTATCCAGTCCAACCATCTGCTTCTCTGCTCTCTGAAGCACTTATGTTTGGCTGGGTGCCTGACGGAGCATTTGCTTCAAGACATGGTACCCAGGAAGAAAGTGATTCAGTCAGGAAGACGGGCATTACATTCTAATAGCTGTCTATAAGTCAGTCAGTCTTCCAGCCATTCAGGAGATGCATCTAGCTACTCGGTACATGATTCTATAAAGGGGCCATTTATCCAGCCAGTTAGACAATCAACCAGCCAGCCAGCCTGGAATATAACCAGTATGCTGACAGGACAAACAGGACACAGATGTATGCAAGAACAAACATGAGAGTGCACATGAATATTCCTGATTTCAGCCATAGCAATCATCTCTAATCGAATCAATATTGTTATCAAAAAAAAAAAAAAGCAGAGATTAATAATGACTGCATGGGTGTGCCCAGTGCGTGATCGTATCAGCCACAGAGGTGGATTAAAGACTATTGGCTCTTGTCTGTGTCATGTGAGTGTATACACACAGGTCTCTGCTTGCTTGTGATATTATAAGCCATTGCATAGCATGCTATATAACACATTCGCATAAATTCACTCTTGTCCGGGTCTCATCCACAAGCTCATCTAGTGCCAGCAAAGTGAATCGGATCAAGAGCCTTTCATGGTCAGTGGGCTGTGGTTGGTCAGATGAGCTGACCTCATTGTTGATAAGATCAAGTTGATCACAGCATTAGGGACAGATTACTTTGTCTAGCAGCAAGCCAACGAAAACATCAACGTGTTCACAAATTATATAAGATTAATTCTCAATCGCCACTGCAACTACTCTAGTATTACTTTAACTTGTATGAATACTGCTGCTGCTGGTTCTCCTACTTACTTGCTTCTGCTACCTCTATGTCGAACATTCATACAATTCCTACTGCTATACTGCCCATACCGCTACTTCTACTTCTTCTGGTGCTCCAACTCTTAGATGGTGGGTTGCAGTGGATCCTGAGAAAAAAAAAAATCTAAAGTTTGATTTTATTCTTCAGTACAGCGAGGTTACATATGTCCCTTAACAACACACCAGCATCAAGAAACTCCTTTTAGTTTCTAAAGCATATGGAACATGTAAAAAATGCAAATTGATTGTTGTTTACATGATGCAAATCATGTTGTTTTACTATGTCGAGCAAACTCTACTAGTACTCACCAGAGGTTTTTAGTGATCGCCAAGATCTTTCCACTTATGCAGTTACGTCTAATCTTTGAAAGGTCTGACTTTGGATGCACTTCATCTGAAAGTAATCCATTGTTTTCTGCATATGATTGAAATCATATTTTGAGATCATTATCTAACTTTTGTTTTGAGTACAAAGAGACCAGAGTTGAAGGATTATGTTGCATAATCTGTCTCCACATTTGAATGCTGTCAGAAGAATATCCTATATTTTTCTCTCACATGAATTATTGATAACTATGATACCACTTATAATATAAAAGTAATGCTGTGCGGAAACAATGTATTCTTGTCAGTTGATCAACAGGGACACACTATAATGAAGATCTTTGCTGAAGATATTTGATCAGCAAACATGAGTTTGATTTTTATTTTTTATTTTCTTATTTCCATTTTTTCAGTTTTAGGGTCAGGGTATGTTAAGGTTAGTAATTTTCAGTGCAAGTGTTACAATTAACACATAAGTCACCAATGGTAGTGCTGTCAAAAAGATTCCTCCCAAACGCTTCCTGGTTCACTAACCTTTGAATCTTATCATCATTGCCACCCTTATCATAATCAGCTGATGGTTGTGCACATTGCCAGCGGTGCCACGGAAAGATCAACTTTACTGAGCAACAGGGAAAATGATGCAATTTCTTGAATTGTGTTTTGGCAACAGATATAAACTGATGCCAGCGGTGTAGGAATAGCTGACTTTGTGTGGTTTCCCCTCGCTCTCGGTCTATGGATAGTGTGAGTTTGAAGTTGCACTAAATGTATCTACCACCTACTCCACTCAACCACCCAACCACTATATGAATCACAGTTCATCATGCTTTATCTCGAGTAGCAATTTTCTGTCTTCCTATGGCCAAGCCTTGTGGTTTCACACACACACACACACACACACACACATACACACGCACACACAGAAGGCGGTCGCAAAAATGATGTAATATAAAGATGATACTGCACTCAAAAGGTCACTGGTATACTGTACGTTGGTATGATAGTATTTGTGCACTGCTCCCTCCAGTCTCTTTTTTTTCGCCCTCGCTTCTCCTCAACCTCCTTAATTAAATAGGCACAATAACCGTCATCAGCTCCATCAAACAGATACATGTTGTAAATGTACAAGTTGCTCTTGAGACCGGAGTGTGTCTTGTAAAGTGCCTTGTTCGGTTAATGCTAATGCCCCCCTCGTCCTTCCTCTTCACTCTCTTAAAAAAACTCTTCAGGTTTTTCCAACTGAGCGATTCTGAGGCGGGCGCAACCGCACTAGAGAGAAAGTCAGTTCGTGCTGGACTGGCGCGATATCCTCGCGTGGTTCGCAACTAAAAGAAGACCCGACCCGCATTTAATCATGTTTTTAAATGATGGAATATGCTGATTTTAAAAGTTGACCAGGGATTTCTAGTTGTGGGGTGTTTGCGAGGCATGGCTTTCCTTTTAACTTGCTTATTTCTGTCTTGGTGAGTATGACAACTCTTTTCTCGGCATGTTCTCCGACTTTTACGCACGGGAACCAAAGACCGTGCATTTATGTCCATTTGAGAAACTGTATTTTCAGCAGTTTAATTATTTGTTGGAATGAGATTTCATTCGTGCATATCTACTTTAGTTACAGTGTGAGCACTGTTTGGGGAAATCAGCCCGGTGGCACCAATATCTATTTGGATAACATCACGCGCATATTGGATAGATTACTGGATGGCTATGACAACAGGCTGCGACCTGGATTTGGAGGTATGTTAATGACCGTGACATATTTTACGATATTGCCTGATACATTATTGGATCAATGTGTCTTTTCTCAGGAGATAAAGTTTTACTCCAGCAGCTGTGTGTGTGCCCTGATTTTCATCCAGCATGTATGCTGTAAAGGTTCAATATTATTTATGTTCTTTTATATGCTTATGACAACATTACAGCTAACAACTGGAAACTCAGTTTGAGAATCAGTTCAAATTAATTTCATGTTCATTTTTGATTTTCACTGGATATTTTTTTTCCATAGACTATATATTAAACAGCTTTATTCCTAACTGCTTTATATGTTGAAAGAAATAGTCAAATGTCTACCAAAGTTCTTGTTTTTGTCTATATCAAAGCAACTACTTATCCTCCTGCTGTAGGTCCAGTTACAGAGGTCAAAACTGACATCTTTGTCACCAGCTTTGGACCTGTTTCAGATGTTGAGATGGTACGTAAACCATGCTGACCCCTGAGACACTGATACAGGATGCACAGGATCATTCACTGGCTGCCATACGCATGCATGCATGTGTTTCATCACTCGTTAACAAAGTCAGTGTAAATATGTGAATAGAAAAGAGAATATGTACGGTTTTCCCGGTAACTCTGTGCATACAGCATCAAGTCACGGCTCTCCCAGCCTTCATTATTCCAGCATTTGGGCAGGACGTCATTAGTGCAGCTTAGCATTTTAATCTGGTTGACAATCCCCCTGTCAGGGAGGGAGAGAGAGATGTGACTGATGTTGGGACGGGATAGGTTTTCACTGTGTGTCATGGGATAGGCTGAGTGCTGTAGGTCTGTAGTACTCTGTTCAGGCTTTAGCTTTCACTGCATCTAAAGCCCACTTGAACTGCCATGTGATAGGCTAGTGATAGAGATGCATGTAAAAGGCTCGTCAGGGCAGCATGGCCATCTATTTGATCTAAAAACATCCTAGACTTTTTGCCGGCTGTAGATATATTAAACTGTATTCATGTTCAATGATTGTATCATCAATCAATCAACAAATTTACTTGATTTTCATTAATGGCAGTCCGTAGAGAATATGATAAAAACATACATGTTGCAAATTATGTTTTAGCGTCTTGGTATCTTTATTTGCATTAAAGGAATTTAATGTGTTTGATGAAGAAAAATCATCTATTTTGAGAAGATGGCAGTATGTCTGTGTCCCACACTTGTTAGCATCTAAAAATCCCATATGAACTCCCTTAAAAGAAACAGCAATTGATTAATGTCTTGATTGTAAAATATTTTAATAAGCACAAATCTACGTTTTCAATTTCAATAGTACTGGCAGCAATAGTAATCCATAAATGGAAAGAAAAAAATATAAAAACAAAGGACTATATTGCCATCCAGCAGATCCAACAAAAAACATGGCTCACAAACCCATCTGCCATTCTCTCCGGGGGTAGTGGAGACAGTAGTGGCAGGAGCAGAAGCAACACCAGCAGTGGGATTGGTAGTAGTCACTGTGGTAGTAAATAAATCCTTTAACCCACACTCTAACCTCCATCCAGGAATACACCATGGATGTCTTCTTCCGTCAGACATGGATCGACGAGCGGCTGAAATTCGAGGGCCCTATCGAGATCCTGCGGCTCAACAACCTGATGGTCAGCAAGATCTGGACGCCGGACACCTTTTTCCGGAATGGCAAGAGGTCGATCTCTCACAACATGACCACCCCCAACAAGCTGTTCCGCATCATGCAGAACGGAACTATCCTCTACACCATGAGGTAACAGTGCTGGACGGTGAGCTCCAAACCCAGCCAAGACCGGAATAGAGTATTAGCCTGGAAAGCAAATCAAACAAACAAGCATCCAAGAATATGCACAGACATGAAAAGAAACGAGGAGTGCCATTCCAAAAAAAAGAGAAATGCGCCATCTGATATTGAAAACAGGCCTGGAATGCGATTCAAACAAACATGACTCCAGCTTTGTTCCAATGTAGCATGAAAAAAAAAAAAAATCCCTTTAAATTATCGATGGCACAAAAACAGATTCAAAAAAATAATTTGATTATTTTAAGTGGATCAACTTTACTGAATAAATTCAAGATCTTTATTTAATCCGCAATGTGTTGTTATTTGCCTTTGCAGGAGGTTCAGTTAAATTATTCCCTCTTCTATATACATTTTTAATTCATTTATGTTTTCTTTTAGTCAGCCATTGTACTGTATGGCACCACAATCACTGGTTTCAGTATAGTTGCTTAGCAGGCAACAGTGTATCAAATATATATCACACACTGCTTTCAACTCTTCTCTATTCTGACAGATTAACTATAAATGCAGAGTGTCCCATGCGTCTGATGAACTTCCCGATGGATGGCCATGCCTGCCCGCTCAAGTTTGGGAGTTGTGAGTTTGTTTTTGTTCAGCCTCACTGGTCTGATGGATGGTGTCACTCTCAAATGATCACTCTGTCACCGAGTAACTGACCGTCTGAAAGCGTAAAGTCAAAGATTTCAGTTTGAAATGTCTCAGACACGAGGCTACCTTTGGGGAACTGTACGAATACAACTATTTCAGGATTCGATAAAAAGTGTGTAGAAGACCAGGCCCGCAAAATGTTTATGAAATGAAAATCTAAAAGTTATCTTATCATTTTGTATCAGCAATAACATCAGCCATTTACCCATGTAGCCTTGAATGATGTTTTTGGATAATGTTTCAGTTGATTGCTCTGCCATTTCGTATGCATGTTATTTTTTCAGGGTTACTTGTTTGCATGCTTATTCATTTATTATATTAATTTATTTTCTATTTAATCTATTTGCTATTAATATTTGATTTTTTATTTTGGAGAACGTAGATAATCAGGTCCGCTTTTAAAGCCAGAAACCAAACGTATTTGTCCCTTTTGTCTGTTATCCTCTCATAGTCTCACAGTTTTGTTTTAAATTATTTTAAAAAAGGAAAAAATGGAAAAAAAAAAAGATATTAGTTTTTTCAAAGTTGTCATCCATCCCGTCCAGATGCTTACCCCATCAGCGAGATCGTGTACACTTGGAAGAAAGGTCCTCTGTCTTCTGTGGAGGTGCCACAGGAATCATCCAGTTTGCTGCAGTACGACCTCATCGGTCAGACGGTGTCAAGCGAGAGGCTAAAGTCCAACACGGGTGAGGAGGCATTCTTGGAGATCTGCTCAGAAATGTGCTTTGCAATATGCAGTATGTGTTTTATATTTATGTATAACCCTTCAGGTCAACATTTCACAGCCCTGTGTTCTTTTATGTGACATGTGTTTTATGAGGATTCTCTGGGGTGAGATAGTATCCTGTAATATACATTATTAAAGCTTTTATTTTAAACCAACATGTATTCAAAAAAGATACAGTTATGTCCATCAAAACATTTAAACCACTAATTGTGTGTCTATGAATTGCTGATTTGCCACCAATAGAAATACAAATGTCTTTGGTGTTACCTCTTTCAGGTGAATATGTCATCATGACTGTCCACTTCCATCTGCAAAGGAAAATGGGCTTCTTCCTGATTCAGACATATATTCCCTGTATTATGACCGTCATCCTGGCCCAAGTCTCCTTCTGGATTAATAAAGAATCAGTTCCAGCGAGGACGGTGTTTGGTAAGATTTCTTTGAATTTCTTCAAATGCTGTAAAAAATTCCAGTTAAAATTTTAAACCGATTTTAAAGGGAAATCAGTGTAGACTTAAATGACAATGTAAGAAGAACACATGCTGCACATTGCTGTCCTGCTGGGATGGAACTTTCTCATTTTAGCAGCCAGGATTGTAATACAATAATTTGCAAATAATGGAGTTTTTTTTTTTTCATAGCCATCTCAGTTGTTATTTTACTAAAGAGGAGTATGATGTTTTAATAAATGTAAATCCCGTCAGTTCACTGAGTAGAACAGAAATTTCTAAAGCTGTGCCTCTGATGGATCATCCAGCATGAAGTTCTTGTATTTCTGATGAGTCAGATGAGGTTTGTGCAAGAGTTTATATCAAGTTTTTATTTTCACTCAGTTATCACCTTGAAAAAACTTTATTGTTTTCAAGTATCCAAAACTCAAATGAATATGTATCAACTCACCACCCACTGCTCGACCCCAGTGTGAGTCTAGCTCTGCAAGCTTTAAGCAAGCACACCTATCGCTATCTACTGCGCTCTGATTGGGTAGAACTGCACGGAGTGGTCCTCGAAATACAACCTTCGGCGAGAGAACAAAGACAAACACAGTCATCAGAGTATGTTTTAACCTTTCTTCATTATCTCTCATCCTCTGTCACTGTGGTGGAGCTGAATTAATTGGGAATAAATGTCCTTTTTGAAATTGGTCATGCAAGGGCAATGAGAGTGAGGATGTTTACTTGGCCCTCTTCCGAGCACTCACAGGTTCCGCTTGGTCACATTACATTACGCTACAGTTGCCACCAAGCTCTAGCCTCGGGAGCAGAGAGGGTGAGAGACACTGACGAGAGACGGAGAAAATGAGACTAAGGGGAGTGAGAGACAAAAAGACAGAGACAAAGCAAGAGGAAAAACATGGGGAAAATGTGTGAAATGCCTCTCCTTTTATCATTATTTTTCCCCTTTCGTTAATTTTCGACAAGCTGCACCTGAGCGGAGTAACATTGCTGGCCCTTGGAGATTATGGTTCTGTAGTCTGTCCTTGTTTTGGTAAGCGAGCCAGCGCTTCGACAACCCTGCACGCTTCTTTAGAGATTAGATCCCAATCATTGGTGTTACCATGAAGGTTGAGGCCCCGTGTTGAAAGCACATCTGTGGCAACCTATCAACTGCTCTCGTCCTGCTGTTTTCGTTTCACTCAGTATTGGGTATGGGATGAAAAAAACTTGCTGTTGTTGAAAAGGAGCTTTGGGGCGAACCAAGGGCGCGCTGGGTATTTTAGAAGAGGTTGTATAGCAAAAATCAAATACAGCATATTGGATATTTTGCTAGCAAGGCCAAACTTTATCTTCTAACTCCGATAAAGTACGTTGCTTGAATTTAAGCACCTTCCTTATGAGGTCTGAAAGTAGTAATTTTCTTTTGTACAGAGGACAGCAATCGAATCACCAACAAAAAGCCATTATCTGATTAGGTTTTATTAATGCACTCGATGTGACATGGAGCATTGGAAATGAGTCAAAGGAGAAGACAAATTGTTGTATGGATGTGCTCCACTCTGACAGAACATTAAGTCATCGTATGTTGTGCTCTGGATTGTCAACAACCTCTCGAAGAGCTGAAAGTCCCTTGAGCTCAAGTCTCACAGACTTAATTGAGTGTGGCCTAATTTGTACCTTGCTTTTTTCATGTAAAAGCACATAAATGCCCCAAGCATTTCATTTCTAGCCTGTCTTTATCCTTCATCCCCCTCCCTCCTACATTCTTTCTCTTGCCTCTCCCTCCTACCCTGACAGGCTTTCTTCCCATGTCCCTCCTCCCCTTCGCAATCATTTAACTTGTGCTTGAGCTTGAGACAGTCAGCGTTGGCTGGCTATCGGAGGGGGTTGTATTTGAGAGCTGTTAGCTTTCACTGCTCAAGTGTTGTGTCGAACATGCTTTTGATACATTAAGGGGTGCATTAAATCCCCCATAAATTCCTACGCTGCAAATTCAATTTACACAACTACAGTGCACATTTGCTGAAAGCATGGGCCGCAGTACTCAATGGCCCCTTTTCCCTGCTTGGTTTAGCTTGATGAAAGTGAATTAGAAATGTACTTTGTTAATGGGCCATTAGAAAAGTTGTTCAATGTCGGGATCTCTATCTGACTTAATAAGGTTAGAATCTGGGCAAGACAGGTAAAATCCCTTTCTAGTGATTAAGAGCCATTTTTCCAGAGGCAAAATTGCACTTGATATCTATTTTGTTGGTGTGTTTTGATAGTTTTATGCTTCAGAAATGCACCTGCCATGGACCGTTTGTGTTCATTTCAAACTGTCATGTATCAAGGGGAATTCATGAATGGCCTGCAGTCTCAAATCTATACAGTGTTTTTCCTAATTGTATATACTGTGAGGGTGTGCTCAAAAGGATCTTTGCACTCTGTGCTTCAATCTGGAGCCATGGCCAGTAGAACTTTTTAGAAGAACTTTTGACAGCTGCTAAATATATCAAAAACAATGTTGCTTATCACTCAATTGATACAAACAGTTTTTTTTTTGTTTTCCACACATCCGTATTTCAGTCAGTTTATCCTTCCCTATCTGACCCGTAGCTTCTATTGTGAAGTACTTATTAGCAGATAAACAAATATTAGCAAATGCTTTGTGGCTTGGGTCTGGGTCATCTTTCTGCTTGGCTTTCTCGAGAATGTTTACAGATGTTTGGTTTAATATTGTCGCGCCAGTGCAGGGGCACGGGTTCGTCTGCTTATGGACGGATTAGCTTCCGATGAAGTGACTTTTTGGCAAAGCTTGCAGGGCAGAAATGCCACATGGCCTGCCATTCTAGTTATATGCCATCAAACAGAGTTGCTGCCATGTGTCAAAGATAATCCTTGGGAAAATCAATTGTGTACTCAATTATTTTTTTGTTTAATTAAATTACATTTACTGCCTACCTCGTTGTACTATTAACAGCTTGGGTGTTACACATGCTGCGTTACTTTATATGTATTAATATGTTTTTTTTAGACCAGAAACAATATTTTTTATTTTGACATCCTCCTCTCAAATTCATAAGTGATTAATAAACTGCATTCCGTTTCAATTAGATTATTTTGTAGTTTGCATGCATCTTTAAAAGTTGAATAAGGATCTGTCTTAATTCTAACACTATTGGAACATTTAAATCAACATAAAGCACTCAATCCAAAACTTCAGTTTGTATGTAATTAGGTAGTGCATGCCAAATTCAGCCCTTTTAGAGAAGGCTATGAGTGGCATCTACACATACGAGTCATAGTTCAATCTCATGCACCTGTGGATCTTGTGCATTTGTATTCACAAACTGAGTCCTCAGAAAATCACTTTATCCTCGTGTTGATAGCTGCCAGACCTGTATGCCAGTGATTAATTATGGTTCATGTTAAGACCTCACTCGGAAGTTCTGCAGCATTTTGGTCTAATAAATGCTGAAACCACAAGGGATTCAACTGCTATCATCTCGGCAATGCTGATGTGATTATAGACACTATTTGCCAGATGGTAAGAGATTTAAAATGGCTTTTTCTAAAGAGATGCTGCAGTTTTGTTTGTCACTTAAATGATGTTCGTGAGCAGACCTGATCTATTGATGTTAAGAAAAGACACGGTAGCTATACTTACCCTTAAGTTGCTTTAAGTTGTTTATAACATTGCATTTGTTTACATTCGTGTATAAGTGTTGATGTGTCTGTCCGAATGAAGCTGATTGCAATGATCTCTCATAATCAAGCTTCTACATTGTTATGCATTGAAAAACAAGCAGCTGTTGACTTATATGATGGTTCCCAGAAACCGTCATACTGACATTCATCATTGTTCTTTAATAATTCCAGAACATTAATATTCACAATACAGGGTGCAGTTTATGTTAAATAATCTCTGTTCGTCCATGTATTAATAGAAAGAGGATTTTGACATTTTTCTGACTGTTAACCACTGAGGACATCTTTCCTGGCCTGTGCAAAACATACAGTATATATGTGCACTCGCACTTCTTAAGCTCACATTACAAGTTTTTGGCAAACAGTGGCTGAGCAAAGTGACTTGTCGTAGTCTTGACTATTTGTGTGCAGATTCAAAAAATCTGATATAATTGTTCATTAGTAAGGTTTTGGTATGGCAGGCATATTTTTGAAACTTGGAGAAAGAACAGCTTTCTCCATCCAAAGCCAAGCTCACTGCCTCCAGGCTCTAGGTCTATATTTATCTGAAAGACATGAGAGTGTTACCGGTCTTATAAAAGTTTCAGCCAACACACTGCCACAGTTTACTACGACAGTAAACACAAGAATAGACGAGCCTTTCAACCCAAGTAGCATAGGACGATAGGATGTAAACAGAACAGTGCACTCATAACTTCTGTCTCCTCCCTCCATCCAGGTATCACCACTGTCTTGACCATGACAACACTCAGTATCAGCGCCCGCCACTCCCTCCCCAAAGTTTCTTACGCCACAGCCATGGATTGGTTCATCGCCGTTTGCTTTGCCTTCGTTTTCTCTGCCCTGATTGAGTTTGCGGCCGTCAACTACTTCTCCACCCTGCAGGCCAACAGGGAGCTGAGGAAAGCAGCAGCCATGAAGGCGGCGGCTCAGGAGGCAGCAGCTGCAGCCGCAGCACCGGCTGCAGCCGCGGGGAACGACGGAGAGGTTTCCTCAGTAAGTCTGCTCCACTGTTTCACACTTGTTGTGTTTACGTGCATTCACAAATCAGCTCTGGCTCAAGTTCAAACCTGTGTGAACTCACTAAACTGTTAACTCAAGGAAGGAAATCAGGTTTTCCGAATATGTTGTTGTCAAAATGCAAATGTTACATATATTCGTGCTCCATTAGGTGTCGAGTGGGATGGAAACACTATACAAATACCAATACCATTACTCTGTTTTCTCTATTTTAAAATCTGCAAACATCACTTCTAGTGTTTCCATTTAATTGTCAAGCAAATCCCAAGCGACCTCTTGAAGTGCCGCCAAAAAGAAATGTGAAATAGGCACATATCCAGCAACTGGTTTGAAGCGAATAAACTAAGCTGCATTGTTTTGTCAGATCGCCTTGGCCGATCCACGGGAGAGACATTTTGTCAGGAATCTGTTTCAATTGGCCAAGTTTTGATTGTTCTTTCATGTCAGCTGATATTGGCCATGTTCCATGCTGTCTGGAGATGAAGACAATATGAATATATTTCTGGTCATGTGAGTTGAATGTTCGCTTCATCAGCTCACATTTATCAAAGGCGATTCTATATTCCATTTAGAGCAACTTTTATCAAATGTTGTCGTGTACATTATGCTACTCCAATGCAATACTTGAATACAATGCTACAATGGAAACAAGGCTACACAGTGTAGAACTAATTTAGATCATTATTCTATGTGTCACTCTTCTTCTCGTCTTATTAATGTAGTTTACATGCAGAGGTAGGATTACTTACTGGAGATTCTGTGATTAATGATGATCAGAGCTGATGCTGCACTCACAGGAAAGGAAGAGGACTTCACTTGGCCTCATTGCATGCCTCTACATCTCTTCATCAAACCACTCCACTGGCTCCACCACACTATCTTTTTTTCTCACAAATCTAAACTGAGCTGCTAAATAACATAACTCTCCGCAGGGCTTTTAACTACATTCGCTAAAAGTTTGTCGTTGAAAAGTCAGTACTCGTTTTCGGAGCCGCTCACCTGTGTTGGACTTTGGACAAGTATTTTGTCCATGTAATGTTTTGGAGCAACTTATCGATATGAAATTAGAAAATGTGCATCAAGTCCAATTTTGGTGGTGTTAGCTGACTGCCAACACTTCTACGTACACGTCAATGATGTACCATTGCTTTTACATTAGGAGTCAGTGAAGCACCTGCAGAAAGGGATGGTTTTAGTATCAGCTGCAGCTTTGAACAATAAAGTTAGTCAATCCTAGCAAATGCCTTTTTTAATGATGCGGATCGGTCATATCGGGCTGATGTAAGCCTTAACTATATTCGTGTACATTTTTGGAAATTGTTGCACTAGCTAAAAGCATGGGTATACAGATCCCACCAACAATATGCTTATAACATATTATTCAGGTTGGAGAAGATGGGCCGTGATATTTGCGGGAATGATTGTCATTTGGGTGCAAGGGGTTAACCCAACAGAGGGAAAATGATGCCAGTATAGCCTGCAGTACTGAAGTCAGATACTATTCTGGATTTATACATGTAATCCTTCTGTCACTATCATCTCTCTATATGTCTGATTTTCATCGTCCCTTTTCATCTTTCTGGGTCTCAGTCTCTTGCTAAACATGTCTCTATTTTTCCTCCTGCCTGTATTGTTCTGTTTGTCTCCCCTTCTGTCTAAATCCATTCTCAGATCTTTGCCTTTTGATAACAATTTCAATGTTCTGATCTTTTTCCAATTCCAATTAGCTTTATTAGTATAACATGTAAACACAGCTGTGTTGCAAAGGCATAATTACAAAATGAAAAGTGGATCGAGAAAAAGCAAGCAATTATAAATATGATACAAACCGCTGAACAGATACCAACAGCGAACATTAAATAAAATGATTAAATACGGTGTGTAAAGGCATACATCCAGTGTGACTGTTCAAATACATTAAAGTCACATGCTCCATATGTGTTCATTTTATACACTATATATACGTACAGTATAGGGTGTTAAAGGCCAGATGTATGTTGACAGGCAACTTATCATCACTCTGTCTTGCCTTGTGGCAGTAGGTACCAAACAAAGCAACAGAAAATTACATTTTGTCTTTTCTTTTCATGATTAAGCAGGGTTTTAAACCCTGGACGACCAAAACTATGATATTTATCTGTGCCAGTGGTTAGAGTTACTTTCCTCTGATGGCTTTCATCATGTCATATAGCAACCTCTTGCAATCTCTGGTTCGTTGCTGTTAAGATTCCACCAGTTGAACATCTTCGTTGAGGGATTGGAGCTGCGTTATTTATTTTATTTTCTTCATTGTGGACTGTACCCTTCTTTAACGTTGCTTCAGTGGTTCTGCGTCCACATAGCACATGTTACTCAAGAGACGTGTATGAAATTGTGTTTGATTCTGACTGATTTAGATGGTTTATTTTATTTTTATATCACTGATGTAGAATTTCTACTTCATGACTTGCTCTCAAGTTCTTTCTTCAAATGTACACTATACTGTAATGTGTACAGTCTCTCTTTCATCCCCTGCCCCATCCCAGACCAAGTCTCACGCTCACCTACATCTAATCCATAGATTCATCCCTCTTTCCTTTCTTCCCCCTCAAACACATGCACACACACACACACACACACACACACACACACACACACACACACAC